CCAACACTAATATAAATGAGTAGAGAAGAAAATTCCTAGCCCAATTGTCCCATAGCCCATTTATGTTTAAGATGAAAAGTAAAACCCCTAGTCAAAAAGCTAAGCCAATATTATATCAACGAAAGCCTAAGCAATCACAATTTTCAGCAAAGGAACAATTCTATTTCAAGTTCTTCTTAGTTCTTGCCATCAATAATGGCAACTCCGGTAAGAACTACTACTCCAAGTTTATTCTTTCAATATATTTTCTAATGTGTTTGACACAAAGGAAAAACATAGAAATTGGGTATTTTGGTTTTTAATTGATTGTGGTTATTATCTTTTAAACTAGCTTTTTACTTGCTTTGCATCCCTTCTCTGATTTTTTTTCCTTTAGAAATTAATTTTGTCCATCGTTGGCTAAAATTTTAGCAGCTACGTATCTTGTGAATTTTTTGTTCCATTTCAGTTTTTACTCATTTTATGTCTTTGAATTTTCATGAGCAAGTACTCTTTTTTAAGTTTGATTTCCTCTCTTCTATAGCTGTCCAAACTAACTAAAATTTGTGATTTTTCCATATGGAAACTGAAAATACTCCAAAAGAGGTGGAACCAGTAGAGGTAATCAACAAAGTCTCTCCAACTACATTGTTGAAACCTGAGCTTAATGCTAACAACACCCCTGACAATATTCCTAATCCTCCTAAGAAGCATAAAAGAACAACTCCGTGTGACCCAGATGGTAGCCTTGTGAGTAGTGGCAGGGGATTGAGAACATATTTACGGTGACCCTAGATAATGCAACTGCTAATGATGTTGCAATTAAACACTTGAAAAGAAGGATTGAGGATTGTAAAGGAGGCATATTAGGAAATGAGTTCTTACATGTTAGATGCAATGCTCATATTCTAAATTTAATCGTAAAATAAGGGCTAACTTAACAAAATGAGTCCATTTCTCGAGTAAGAAATGTTGTCAAATATGTTAAGTCCTCAGCTGGAAGGTTTGATTCTTTTAAGTCATTTGTTGAGAAGGCTAAGATTGACACTCGTGGTCTTTTGACTTTAGATGTTGAGACTAGGTGGAACTCCACATATATGATGCTAGATACATCTGTAAAGTTTGAAAAAGCATTTTCAAGAATGTATGATGATGATCATAAGTACCTCAAATATTGTTTAGAGACGAATAGTATGGGAGGACATCCATCTATAGATGATTGGAAGAATGTTAAAGTTTTTATTAAGTTCCTTGAGATGTTCTACCAGGTCACTTTGAAATTCTCTGGAACTTCATATGTTACTTCTAATTCTTTTTTCCATGAGATCTTTAATCTTCAGAATTTTATTCAAAAATATTCTCATAGTGAAGATTCTATTTTGAGTGGCATGGCTGAGAAGATGAAAGTTAAATTTAAAAAATATTGGGGTACTTTTGAGAGTATGAATAAGTTATTATTTGTTGCTGTTGTTTTGGATCCTCGATATAAATTGAAGTATGTGGAATTTCTTTTCAACAAGTCTTATGGTAGTTTGGAGGGAGGCCAACAGTCAAAAAAGGTGATGGATACTTTGACTCGCTTGTATGACCATTACAAGAGTTCTTTTTGTGAGAATTCTAGTGACATAACTGGTGGTCAAACAAGCTTGATGGATGAAATTGATGTCCTGGACAGTGACGAAATGTGGCAATCACAATGGGAGAAACATTTGGCAGATAAAGTCAATATTGAAAATAAATCTAAACTTGAGAAGTACTTGGTAGATGATTTGGAAAAGACCAACGATTTAAATATTTTGGCTTGGTGGGAAGTTTCATCTCCTAGATATCCAAATGTCTCTAGAATTACAAGGGATGTTCTTTCTATTCTTATTTCCACTGTTGCATCTGAATCTGCTTTTAGCACTGGTGGTCGAATTCTTGACTCTTATCGAAGTTCTTTATCACCAAAGACAGTAGAAGCTCTTATTTGCACTCAACAATGGTTAAGATCAACTTATAAAGAATACAAGCTTGAAGATCTTTTAGAAGAAATTCAGAATCTTGAGATAGTTGAAAAAGGTAAATTTATACATTTAACTCTTTTGAATATGTTTTTATATTTTTAAAGCTTTAAGGCCTAATATGTTAACTTTTTTCTTTTTCAGAATATGCTGGCACAACTTTGAGTATTGATTAATTTTGAGATTCCAACTGAAAGTGGTAAATGCATGCAAGTAGTAGTAGTAGTAGTAGTAGTAGTAGTAGTAGTAGTAGTAGTAGTAGTAGTAGTAGTAGTAGTAGCAGTAGTAGTAGTAGTAGTATGATATTTTAAACTTTGGTAGTAAATTTTCAATTTTGCTATTATTTCAATTGAGGTTCATTTTGTAAGGTGTTTGGATTCTTATTTCACTGTAGTTATTTTTTATGGAATGAGAATGACAGTAGCATGATATGAAGTTAGTTTTGGTATCAATGTTTTCAGCTCTATGTTACGACTTACGCCTACACTTGATTGTTTGATGGAGACTTATGGGTTGAGGCTTCATGATTGTTTAGATGTTATACTCCCTTGTTTTGGTGTTCTACTGTAATTTTCTATAATAAAATGTTAGTATTCTAAATTTTGTTTTCTGTTGCAAACTTGCAAAAAATAATGCTTCCCTTTTCACATTAATATGTATGAAGTTTCTGCTCGCTTAATTGATTTAAGACAAAAGCTCTATATTTTAAAAAACATTGCCTAATTAACGAGCAATTTGTAGTTGTCGAAGATGACACCAATTTAGTCACATGCTCCTTACGTTTCGCTTTCCTATATCTCCTTTTTATTTTTATTTTTTTAATCTCACTTATATCAATTTTTTTGCATTATAAACTATATCTTTAAAAACCGAAAAAATCCGCAAAAACCGAACCAAACCGATAAAACCGATAAAATTGAAATCGATAATGTTTATACTATATTGGATTGGTTTGGTTTGAATATTAAAAAACCGCTTCAATTGGTTTGGTTTAGTTTTAATCAAAAACCGAGTCAAACCGAACCATGAACACCCCTAGCCACGCCAATGACTTGATTGAGTGACACAAATACCAAAAGGTTGTATGTTTGCCAGCAGACTCCGATTTGCTTATCTAGAATTGAGGTGGCATATTTCAGTTATAATTGATCGGATAATTCTAGATAAATTGTTTTTAGTATTACTGCCTCCAATCAATAATGTTATCTATTTTAGTATGGAGACTAATCGATTGATTGGCATCCATTAATTAGTAAGCAAAAAGACAAAGCTAGAAATTTGAGCATCGCAATTCAAATGGTTGAATTTTGCATCTGTTACTACTTATTTTACTAGAATAATCAGTAGTTTAGTTGCAGGCGAAATATTTTCAAAATTTTAAATTTAGTTAGATAAATTTAGTTGAGATGTTTAGACATCAAAACTTTACTCTGCAGATTTATTTTTTCAAATTAGCTATTTAAAACCCTTTATGATTAGTAAAAAAAAATAATTTTCAATCAATACTTTAAATTTTCTTGCTGCTCCGTCTCTTTTAGAAAACCCAACAGTGGTATCAGAGCTTCATCAATTTTATGAAATCTATGATGAGTTCATGCTAAAGAATCATTTGAACCACTTTTAAGCCATTTTTAACTCGTACCTATTTTTAAACCAAACTCATTTTTAATCCATATCCATTTTTTATTTTATTTTTTCAATCATAGCGAGCAATAGCCTTTCCTTGAATGCCCATAACTTTTCACTGGCGAAAAGTACCATATTTCGTTAGTAATATGAAATCATATTTGAAAACTATCGTTTATGGAATATTATAATGGAAGAAAGATCCTTACAACTACTTCTTACAAATCTTATCACTATCCAAATTAAAACTCATATAGAAGAAAAGGCAAAATTGATGAGATTGCTTTTTACGAACAAACCCCAAAAAAAAAAGAATGAGTCATATTGCAAAAGGATGCAAGTTCAGAAACACTCTAAAGAATGCACTAGCACAAACTGCAAAAGCAGTAATTGAGAAGGATCAACGTTTTTAGATTGTAGCAACAGAAGCAAGGAATAGTGTTGAATTTTGCATATGTTACTGTTTATTTACTAAAACTAGTTTTATGTACGTGCGATGCACAAAGATCATATGTAAAATATTGTAAAACACGTACCAAAAATAATAAACTTTGAATTACATAGATATTCTAAAACTACAATGATAATTTGCTTCTGTCTCAAAATAAAATAAAAGGTTTTCTTTAGTTTTCACTTTTGCTCATACATTAATCTGTTATATCTTAGCTTTTCATAGGAGGAGGAGGAAGAGGAGGAGGAGGAAGAAGGAAGGAAGGACTAGGTAAGCGTAACTTTTACTGAATATCAACCATAATAAATAAAGTCTAACAGTCTCAATATTGAAATCTTTATAGAATTTACATCTTCCGAAAATCGGCAGTACAAGGCATAAGCTCTAATGAGTTGCTAGAAAACCTCTAAAATACAATTGTCTCAAAATAAGAGTGAACAGTATAAATACAAAATAAGAAGCTGACTCCAAAGCCTGCGAACGCAGCAAAAGGTTTACCTTGAGTCTCCACAGCAACGGTCTGCACAGCTACTGACGAATAATACCTGGATATGTACAAAAATATACAGAAGTGTAGTATGAGCACACCACAACGGCGCCTAGTAAGTATTTAGACTAACCTTGGTGGAGTAGTAATAAGGAACAGTCAAGACACCTACTGGTTTAATAACTGAACAAGCATAAGTATAGAAACAACAGAATATGATATCTATATAAAGACCACGTAATATGGCTAACAACACAGCAATTACAATAAGGAAGGAAACAACAAGAAATAACGGAACACCATAATAACGACACATAAAAGCGAATGAAAATACAAAATGAAATTCGAAATCAAAAACCAGTAAAGACAATTAATAACTTAGCAACTACGACAGTTTTGACATCAGATCTTAGCCAACAACTTCAATCAGTTAGTCAAATCCTTCAAGTAATAAAAATATTTTTGAAATATACATCTTTCAAATAAATATTTTCAAAAAAATAGTTCTTCCAAAATAAATACTTTTCGAATATAATCTTTTCAAATAAATATTCTTCGAATATAAGTCACCTTGTGACACCTCATCTCATAATCATACAATATGGGTCTCAATATCTGAACCCTAACACTTGGCATCCTGAGCCCTCATCACACTTCATAATCATACTGACAACCCACGTGCCAAATAGAATCATTCTCACATGGAAGGCAAATAAATTAAGGTGTGCGTCTATACTCAGCAATATCAAGAAGCCTCTTATCCGATAAGGGTGTTTAGCCACATGCATACTTATGCAAGTGTCCTAACATAGTTCACATGAGCTAGTAAGTATAAGGAAAAAGAACATACAGCACGTAGAATGTTTACACAGGGATAGGATCAATGATTAGCAACAGTTCAGAACACAGTGATAATAATAGGGGATCTCCCAAGATACCGTAGCGTAGTCCTAAACGCAAATGTGCAGGGGGATCTACCGACTGTAGTCCCAAAGTAAATATGCAGAACAGAAGAATCTACCGGGATACCGTCCTGTAGTCCCAAACGTAAATGTACAGGGAGATCTACCAGAATACCATTCCGTAGTCCCAAAGTAATTATGCAAAGTAGGGGGATCTACCGAGATATCGTTGTGAGCACGTGATTTTTGTTTTTGCGCGACAGTCGCTCCAAAAGAATAAAATTTGTCCTGCTGTACAATTTTTGGATTTCTGTGCGGCACTTTGTTGATTTATTTGTGACTTCGGCCCATTTTTATTTATTTACTTTATTAAAACAAAATTCAAAAATGTGTACGTGTCATGCATAATCTGAACCATAACATGGTTTAAATAGAAAAGCATAAACAGTCACCTTTGTCCGTGATTTTGTTTTGTTTAATTTTACTTGTTTTGAAATATTTTAGCGTGTGTGCNTTGGAAAAACTCCACCCGCGCATTTTAACCCTTCGGGGCGGGCGCGCAAAGAGGAGGTGTGACAATCGTCCCGTAGTCCCAAACATAAATATGCAGCACAACCAACAGAGATAATAATTACAGTACGATTGAAACCTTGTACATCACCACCACAAGTACAACAACAAAAATGACAATAATACAAAGTACGGCGAGTAAATCAACTCAAGAACTTTAAATCACAAAGAAACGGTAGAACCAGCACGCAAGGGATAACCACAGTAAAGAATGCTAGGCATAAAGGGAATAGTTCAACAAGGGAAAACTAATATGTAGCAACAATGCCACAATATACAAGTCAACAATAAGGAAGCCAACACGAGTCAATTAGTTCCAAATAAAGGCAAGTCAACTAAGATATAGGTTATCTAAACTCCTTTTAAAGTTGAACAATTGCGAAGGATATTCAAGAATTCAAATAATGGTAAGCAGCAGAAGATAATCATAACTCCAGTTAAGACTAAACAATTACAGGATAAAATAATAATAATTTCAATTAAAGATTAGAGGTTGCGAAAAGATAGCATGATAATAGAAGATGCATAATCTTCGGTTAAGTCAAATAAGGGTAAAATAGGCAATGAGAGTGAATCCTAAAGCAATTAATTCCAATTGAAGCATGTAGAAGTGAAACCAGCAAATAGGAACTCAAACGTATCATGAACAACTTTATAAACAGTGAATATAAGGACCTAAGAACCCTAAAGGACAACTTTCCACAAACAAGTCCGAGCATGCACTCGTCACCTCGTGTACACGAACTACAATCAACATAGAAGACTCAAATCCTAAGGAGAAGGCCCCCACACAAGGTTAGGCAAGATACTTACCTTAAAGATGACAAACCGATACTCTAAAATAAACTTCTCGGATGAAAAGGCCTCCAGACGGCTAAAATATAGTCAAAATAACTTCAAAGCACAAATAAAACTCATAAGAAGCTATTCTTGATCATAAAGTCTCAATCTTTAACAAAATCTAAAAATCGGTCCAAAAGTCGGCCCCTGGGCCCGCACCTCGGAACCCGACAAATTTCACAAAAATCGAATACCCATTCTGATACGAGTTCAACCATAACAAATTATCAAATTCCGATACCATCTGGTCCATCAAATCATGATTTTTTATTTTAAAAATTTTCTTCAAAAACCAACATT